TTTTCATATACATCTTACATGTTCGAGAGATTTTTCGATACTTTAAACAGAAGAAATATTTAATTAAATTAGGAACTACGTTTTTGATACTTGACAAGTATGTTTTTAAAATTAGCACCAAGAAAATTCTTGTTGTGAAGTGTTAATTTAATCGTACAGTTCATTGTTATTGGTACCAGGTGTAAGTTTTCTAACTTACACCTGGTATCAATGCAAATATGGCATTGTGAAAACATAGTCGTGAGTGATACTTAGTTATGTGTTACGGTAGTCATACAGTGAAGATGTAATCAAGTGTATCTAGCCGAGACAATTGTTATTACTCAATACGTCTTCCATTGAACCGGAATATTAATGCTTTGTATCGGCTTCTTCATGAATCAAGTTAAACAGGTCTCCCGAGCGAGATTTGATGATAACAAATTCCGTTGCCTTTAATGCCACTTGTGCAGATTAGCACCAGTACAAATCCTTTTAGAATTGCTCGTGGCTGTAGTCATTTGTTTTGAGACATTCACAAAACGTGTGATATCATTGCTTGCTTTGTTAGTAACAGACAGCTGTTTAGAAAGGAGTTGATTCATAGCGGCGGGGAACAGACCTGCTGTGATACCAACCATACCACGAGGGTCAACATTCAGGTTCAATGTCTCCATACTTAATGCTTTTGTGTCGGTAGAAAACTCTTAAAACAATAAGGAAAGATAATGTACTCTAAAAGTTTAAGTGGTTTTAAAAGGTGCCAGAACATACCATAGCGATATACAAAATCAAATTTTTCCGCGTTAAATCTTATTATGAGCCATGTATGTCTTCTCGTTTCCTAGACATCTGACATCCGACGTTGTGAATGCACATCAGAATGTTTTTCTTGTACAACGAGTCTTTATAGTTTTTATTTTGTTTTTCAATATTGCCGATATTAACGTTCACCTTCGGTGTCGGACACATAATTTAGTGAGCTTTAGCAAACCGGCCCCACTGCGACATTATCTTAATTACAATATTAGCATCAAGACGATTCGCTTTGAATACACATTAGGAGGAGCTAGCCATCTCACTACGACATTTTGCGCTCCACATGCAAATGGATGAGGACCGCACCCCGCGGCCTCCTGGCTTCTCGACTTAAATTGATAATGATCGCTCAACGCCGATCCAGAGCTTGTCACACCACTTATCAACTTGCTCAGATTTAATTTGCCACAATTTATTATCAACGTAGTTTTATCTGGCAAATAATTTCTTTCACTTGTTGTAGAGTTATATTGTTTTAATATCGCTTTAGAAATGCCCAAGTTATACAGTTAGTAGATTCATATTAAGGGCATTATTACTTTCGTCTCAGTGTATACGCCTTGATCCGCAAATTAATGGTCGTACCGTTGCATTCATTTGTCAATATTAGACATGCGTAATCTGTCTTAGCAACTGTTAACGTTTTCTATCTGTGCAATAACAAACATTGTTTGCGGTAGATGAACTTAGCATATTTACTTCTGCCAATGTCTTCTGAGAAAACAATTCGTACTATCGATTTTCTTACTTGTTTCAAGCAGGAGTTACGAAATGTAAATGCTGGTACTTTCTCTTGTCTCGCAACTGATGCGAGGAGTATGGAGGTTAAGATAACAAAGTTTCCTCTCCGCTTGGATGTAGGATTCGAGCCTATTGTAGTTTTATTATTTTGCATTAAACTATGAATTGAAAGCTTATTTAACTTCAATTGCGATCATGACAAATAAAATAAAGTACTGTAGTATATAGTTACACGTCTGATTGCAAAACTTTTTTAGATTTCACTTTTAAATGTGCTCATGATTGTATTAAAAGATAAATAGTACGTACTCAGAAATAGTATATGTCATCACGTATAAATACACTATAGGCCTCGAGGCCATTGCTTCTTATATTTGTTGAGGACAAACAAGAGACATTTGTCAACCGGGAGCCCGTGCCTTCACTCTGGAGCGTGTTTATTCACGTTGGCTGCCTGGCTGCCGAAGGTAACACCCTTTGAGCACGTGCGGCAAACAGCTACCGTATGAGACAAGCTCTTAGGATAGGTTATGTAATTCACTTGTAGGGACATTTTCGTCTTCTAAATAATTTTGTACTACTGTACAGCATAATTGTCACCTTTCAATACGGGTCATACAATTTTGCTATTCATTTGCTAGTAAGTGGATACCACTTTGCAGTATAAGTGTGTATGAATTGTGTGAAAGAACAATTACACGTCGTAGAATTGCAATACCAATAATTTCACGTTTCAGTATTAACGCTAGTAATATGCAGGTGCTTCGCGTAATTTGCCACTAAACAAAACTATCAACGGTTGAGTGCAGAGTAACCTAGGGAAATTCAAGTTTAGCCTCATAACAATGCGTAGGTACTTGATTTGGAAATGATTTCCTTTTGTTCTCAAAGGGAGGTCATCTTAATAAAAAAAAATCCAATTTATTTTCTCCCTACACTTAGAAAGAATATGTAAAAAACTCATTGAAGAACCTGGAGCCAGCGCAATCAGTGTATGAACAATATTTATGACTTTTTGTATAAGATCAAGGGACGGGTCGAACAAGTCGTGCGCCTGTTGGTAACCTGTACGCCTGAAACTGCTAATTATAATCTTATGGCGCTTATTCAATTAAGTTTACTGCCTGGACCTGTTCTCGTCTCGGAAGGGAAGTAAAGATTATTATTCGCACACTGTCATGCTTATAGTCCATAATTGATAATAAAGACTTGTCGTGGTTTTGCGGTCGTCTTTGTGAGATAACTAGCCTTCAAATTATGCATCTTTCGAAAACTCCGTAACTACGCGAGCTCACGTCACTCGCTACGCTACCGCTACCGAAGGGCTTACCTAATCAATGCTCAAGGCAAACCCTGGATATTCTACTCACAAAATGTATACCTAATATTATGAAACACAATAATAAAGTAACCAACATTTATTACACGGTAGTTAATATTCTAATGTACAACAATTTACATACTCGTGCTCACGTTGTGATTAGAAAAAGCGTACATTTATAGTTTTCTTAGACCGTTTCCTTGACCGGTATGAAATCATCAATGATGCTAACGAGTGTTTGCTCTCATATTGCCCTTCACCGATATCCCTTCCCACGTCATTATGCAACGATAGGGCCTCGCCGTTTCAAGTAGCTTTCAGGAGCTACTCGTGATAGCTATTAATAATTAGCGTTAGTTACTCTGTCCGATGATTATGATATCTAGCGCAGCCGCAGCGCTTCGCCTGTTAACTAATGTCAAGTCCACTAATGCCTTGATTTATGCCCTTTCGTTTACAATTGTTGAGAAGCGCTTGTTTCTTTTAAATGGTAATGTTACATTTTACGATTAATTGCTTAACTAACGATGTGTATTCCAGGATAACCGTTTTATAGATGAAGATACATTTCTTAGTTGTCAAGGGGAGATGCACCCGTATGTTCTTAAAGTAATTTTCAAGAACTCCGAAGCCAATCGACGCGCCGTTAAGCTTTTGCAATACAAAGTCGTAAATTACGAAACGAGTGGTAGTTTTAGTTAGACACCTAATTTAGCAGGCAATTGATCCGTTGAGTTTGGTAGTATAAATACATCAAAGATTATAATTATAGTTTCCGCGTTGATAATCGTTTATATCGCCGCTTAATAATGCGTTTCGATGGGATTTCGCGTTGGGGTTGGGTATGAAATATATGAATTTCGTCATTAAGATATAATGTAATTAAATTCTTATCTCTGCGTTCGCCAATACGCCGATGGCATGTAGCGGTAGCGGCTAAGAAACCAGTCCATCCAATAAATACTGACAGTGCAACGCTATATTTCTTTTTTAATTAATTATTTCACTATAGAAAATAAAGGTCCGATACGAAAGTAATAGCAGTAGAAGAGTTTGTCCAGGGAATTAACTGCCACGTTACCTAAGTAACGTGGCAGTAATTCCCTGGCAAAATAAGTAAGTAATTGCGGCTAGCCGCCAAGCAATAATGTAAGCATTACTGCGTTCCAGTTTTGCAAGATAAGGGTACTGGTGGAATTACAAGCACATGAAACTTGTCAACTGTCTCAAGATGACGGGTGCTGTGATAGTGCCCCATAGGTCTTTGCGATTTGAGGCTCTGTGTGGTACTGTAACTGCAATGGACAGGCGTATCGCTCACCACCAGGCGCACTACACTACACACTTTAGAAATTTAGCGTTTGTATCCGAAGTTTCGAAGAAAAAGTCCAGCATATAATATTTCTCAACACCTTACTTTATACAGATAAAGGTAGTCCTGGACGCGTTCCAGATTTATATCTATTTCACTTATGTGAAAGCTTAGATTATTATGATTTGTGTCGTTTTTAACGTCTAGATGTATCACGAACGGCACGAGTTTGGCGCTCGTTCGATCGTCCCTTTTCCAATCACGACTGAAGTGTTGATGAGTTTATTGCCGCCCTCTCGTATTTCATTGGTTCAGAACGTAATCACCTCAGCCTAGATTTGCATTACTCTTTTAACGGCCCTATCAACATTAAAAGCGTACATAAAATTTTATGAAAGCTTAATTTTCTCCATAAGCATCTAACTTGAAGCTGGACAATTGATTTTAAAGTTCATTAAAAAAATGTATTTTTTCTTTTAAGCTTTTAATAATTTTTTGTATATTACATTAATTTGTATTATAAACAATAAAATAGATCTTAGATAGATTTCACTTAAAAATCAATTATTATTATAGGTACTTACAAACTGACCTAATCGGCGCAAATTAAATTGGCAAATTTATTCCTTTCAATCGTTTTTTCCACAATATTTAGGGCGAATATTTACTCAGTTTATTTAACGACTAACATCCATGCGATAACACTCAAATTTTGTTATAAAATTAGATAGCCCGTATAAATATTCGCATGGCGGATATTGCGCGTGCAACCAAAACATGCATGCTGTGTGATAAGAAGATACTTGATAAAACATTGCGTTTACCGACCTCGGATGGGTCCGAAGGAGCGTAGCGGAGTTCTTTTCTTCTAACTTTGCTTCACAATCACCACCACTAAATACACATTTGCTATCATTGCACTCGCGTGGTCGATGTATGTGGTTGCGATACGCGTTTATTTTGTTGTGTTGCGCCGTAGTGCGTGCGGCAGGTGCGCGCGCTGCAGCATCCGCAGCGGCTCTGGCGCCGGCCGCGACACGCCCCGTGCGTGCGCGCACCTCCCCCGCCCGCTGAAATCTTCGACACCTTTCAGCGATTTCCATACACAATTTCCGTTATAGGAACATTGCTCATAACGCATTACTTTCTTCATCTCAATAGACAGTAACAAATTACTTTTGTGAATCGTTTGCTCTTACTTGAGACTCTTGTCCTTGTAATTTGTTACTCAGAATATTAATGCATTCTTATTCGTGTTGTTCATGAAGACAAATAGTCAAATGACTTGCAAATTATAACAAAGGTAACCGTAAAGTGCGCTGAGGTTGTTGTTGTATTGCTCGGGCTGTTAAGAAAAGCCTAGGTACAGCTAATTAGCAAAATAAATCGTCTTGCTACTACATAATAGCGCCCTGTTAATAATTCCATGCTCGTCGTGGCTATAGACAAAAGCTTTTGCGACTTGGAAATGTTGTTGAAGATAAAGACTTTTAGAAACGTTTAAGAATAATTTGTTTTTATAAAAGTTTGTAAATCCGCGCCTCTGACTTTCCCGGAACAAGAGTCTGTCATAAATCGAGACAAGATGCACTTTCCATTTTGGGTGGTATCATCGTTATGTGCCAGCTACGGATTACTGCTAATGATCGTACAGTCAACAGACTGAAGTGTGACTTTGCAGTTTTTTATATACTAGCTTAGTTTTTAATCGTAATTTTATTTTGCATAACTAAATTACTTATACGAGTATGTTCCAATTCGTAATGAAGACACAAAATCAGTGTGCTTGTAGGTTTTCTCTGTTGTGTCCAACCGCTGCGTAATTCCATTATGAATGAATCATTTTTCAAAATCGAGGATCAATTTTAATTTCCCCTTTTATAATTTCAAAATCATTTACTTTTACTGCAGATTCAAATCTCCAGTTCCACATGCGCGTGAGAAAGTCCGCTTTCCATCGCCCATAAATCGTATATCGAATTTAACTCAATATGTCCCTTCATTAGACACCAATTAACGAAATAAGAAATTCTTTGTGAGTTTCGAGTTACAAGTCATTTTACGGTAAAACGATGTCGCGTCTTCAAGTTTTAAAGCCACTTTTAGCGGTTGCATCACATCGTAAATTTTGTCTCCCCAAATGATCAATCATGACGATTATTGATCAATATTAGCTCTATTGCTACTTTCAGTTACATAAATGGACTTTCCCTTCAATTGGTCGTTGAGGATACAAGTACTTAAATAATGGTACAGCTATCGAAAGTTTTGTCTGCAAGTACCAGATACAGAAAGATTAATGGATATTCATTCGTGATTATACCACAGCCGCACAAAGCTATTTTTGTTTTGATATTTAAGCTGCACTTTATTTGAAGGTGTGACTGTTACCATGTGTAATAGTAGCACGAATGCACAACACATTTTGAATTCCAGTATCCAGCTATTAATTCTGGCAGCCATAAATCTAATTACCGCTATTTACGAACTATCCCTACGTTAACTAAATACCGTTTTTCAAGTCACGTATGAAAGGCTGCTATTTACACTACAACCGTATCTACAAAATTAATATTTCACGTGAGTCGATTTATTTTCTAAAAAAACTATACTTGAATGAAGCAGGTACTTATTTGACTCTCGACGCTTATTTGCTTTATATAAAAACTCGATAAGCATTTTAACCATTCTTATGTCGCCTGCTGTGTACTTTTGCAAATTAACAAGTCTTTTCAAGAATGTGTTAAGGTTGAGATATGAGCATAGCTTATTTAGTTAGTTATACATAAGAATAATTCAAAATCTAGGATTTAGGTACAGCCGTCCAAAATTTGATATTGAATATAAAATCTGAAATCTGTGAACTTCATAGCTCGATGTTTCGTGATTTTGTAGAAAGTAAATGCAATCAAGTACAAGTAGTAACTTGTACTTGATTGCATTTACTTCTGTGCTGTGGTTAGACTGTTATGTGGAAGCATAACGTTTTGACTAACAACGCGCAGATTCGGACGTTGCCCGATTTCGTAGCTATTCTCAACAGGTTCAATATTTGCGAACCTTATCCTTATCGCCGTTATTGTTAGACAAACTAGTGCCAACTAGTCTACATTCTTCATTATTGTTACACAGACTTTCTGTTATAAAATAGAACGCTGCACAGTATTAAGCTATTTTCGGTAGTTAACTAAGTAGGTTCTTATACACTACTTGAGATCTTGCATTTTAAAATTCTTTCACAAAAATCTACATCTTATTTAGAATTTGCACATTTGTATACATAGTATAAATCAACAGATATGGAGTTATTATTTTTCATATATTTTTAGTTTCTATAAGCCGTAAATAAAGGACCAAGGATCAATCTTAATATAATCGTATGATAACATAGGTTTAATTATCGAATTCTTAGGTATTCGCGATTGTTACACATAGGAAATGAAGCTATTTTTCCGGCTTTAAATCGCGTATATTTTTCAAACAAACCAACGTTTCGGGCCCATTACAGGTCCTATGGTCACGGTTTACTGAGGTGGTACAGTCATCAACCAGTTATGTCTAATATTAATGCAAACCACCCTATTTTTTCACTATGGTTACAAAAGTTATTAATATCTACCTTATTTTTAATTTTACAAAGAACATTCCCTTCTACGCTACATTAAGTTTTACAAATTATTTCATTTTAACAACATGAATTTTTATGGAATTAAGTTTATTATTCTTTAATAATGAAAATTAGAATAAATTAAAACATTAATTAGCACTGCAGTCTTACGTCTGTTTGGGATTTTTCATCAGAGGAAATACTGGATCTCAACCTGGTGGTACGGAGAAACCAACTTCCTTGTTGAAATTAGGATATTTTTTTAATTTCAATGGCCTCTCGCAGCATCCTGGGTAGATAACGGACTTCTTTTGCAAGGACCTGGGGTTTGTCAAACTTCATTGAATGTGTAGGTTTATCCATGACATGCTCGCATAGATTAGAACATAGATTTAAATCAACACGGAATGATTGGTGCCTTAATCATTCTGTATTATTTAAATCTAAGTTATTTTGCCCCGTTTTCTGTTTGCTTTAGCTTAGTACTTTTATAAAACAAATAATAAATTGGATGGTTAATAACCATAAAGTAACCATCGCGCACATGACCGCGGGTGGTGCGATTCTGCCGTCTCGCAATTAGCCAATTGCAATTTTCGATTACTGACCATGTCGACTACCGGTTCCTGGCGACAGGTTTTGTGAGTTTTGCATCATTGCGCTGGCAGCACAGCCCACTCCAGGGTGGCCCACTGCTTTTTGCGGAATTCAACCTTAAAGTATTAATGTTTTCGGTGAAAACTGTAATCCTCCTGTTATCATAATAAGTTTAAATGATTACGTCACAAAGTATGGTAATTTTATGTGAATTGTCAGGATGTATTTCAAATCCTGCAGCTATGTTCTTATCAGTAAAAAAAAGTACTGAAATTTTCGGAGAATACTGTTAATCTTCCTACTATAACAACTTTAAATGACGACATCACAAACTATGAGAATTTTAGTTACATTGTCAAATATGTATTTCAAATCCTTTCACTATGCTGTTGCCAGTAAAAAAAATTGTGCCCTATTTTAAGAACCCATGTATTATAAGGTTAATCGATTACTCATTACTCTACTTTTGGATTTTTCCAGATCTAGTTAAGAGTGCAGATACTGCTTCACTGTAAACTCTCGTACTCTTAATAATCTAGTGACTCATACGACTCATACAGTAACATAATAAATTTGTACTCAGCCGCACTATTCTTAGCAACAGTTCTTGTTTCGGCAACATTAGTAACACTCCACTAACTCCACATTCCTCTTTTCGGTTTTCTCTTTATATAGTTTCACGGCCCTAAACTGGCGCAGCGCAGTTAAGCCAATAAAGCTCGCAATGCGGGATGTCGGCTTTTCACTATAAAAATCACGCTTAATCTTTTGATATACGACTCACGGACGTCACATAGTCATCTGTTCTGTATGCGGCAGCTCGCGAATGATTGGCTATAAATGAATTTGCATTAAACAGTTGTTAACTGGCCGTTGCCATTGTGTGTTTTTTGCTTGGTTACTATGTCTCTTCGACCTTTCTTCTAGTATTCCCAATTGATTTAAAAGTTACGCTTCAAATACTCGTAAATTATTAAGTTTCATAATCGATCTGTGATTTACTTCACAATTACCTTTCAATTATTTTCTTGTAAGCTAATATTTTACTCCTTGGCACATTTTGATTTGACTATAATTATGGTAACTTCTTACAGATCACTTAATTGATAAAACAATTAACATATTTAATATACTGATTTAACTGTTTTTTGCAATTAGATACCGATTTTATTATCCCATTAATGGGCATATTAACGACGCGAAAACTGTCACAGCTAGAATAGAATTCCGGCGTTTAATTGGAATTAAAATTTACTGTGCACTGGATTTTTTTTGCGACAATAATTAATATTATTATATAGCTGTACTTATTGACTACAATCGTTAAATGAGTAGATTATGTACCACGGTTGTTGCAAATATCAGCAACTGCATTCGGGGATGATTTGCATAAATTAGAATATCCGCGTACGCGTTAGTCTCTTCATTCATCGACGATGCGGATACTCAGTACGGATATTAACTTCGTGACATTAAGTTACAAACCATCCAGAATCAGACTGCAAGCCCAACAATCAGATCAACAATATAATACCTTTTGTATATAATATATAATACCTAATACCTTTGAAAAAATTTCAGTATGATGAAGTCAGGCAGACTGATTGATTTTATGAAGATTGATTGATAATCGTCATAATATCCCTAAACAAAATTAAAATCATCAAAAACGCTTTTTCATGTAGATTAAATAAGTTTATTATGTACATTTTTACGACTTTTTTTTAAATAGATGAAATCAGCTAATGCTGATGTTTAGGTCAAAAATCAGCGTCCGCGTCTGCTGACTGCTGATGAGTACAAAACCTACAT